CCATCCATCCATCCATCCATCCATCCATCCATCCATCCATCCATCCAATACATCATCATATCCATCAATACACTGGATATTAGAAATAAAGTTAAAGAATCCCAGTATAACACCTATATGAAGTATTCTGACTTAACAAAACTTGAAAATCACAATGTTTAGTTTTTGTGTTTAGTGTGTTTACTATTTGGTGTTTTGTTGTGGCTGTAGTCCATTGTTGGGCCATTTAAGAAGTGAGTAAATATGAAAACAAAACACAACAAAAAAGGAAACAACACTGCAAACTAAAACCTTTACAGCAATTTTTTACATTTTTTTTAGGGAAATACTCCTTTTTCCGCCACCTGAACGGAGCTCGCGGTCACGAGCGCGTGGAGAGCGTGACGTCACTTTCCTAAACCGGGCAGCAGGCAGCCGTTGAGTTGAGTCCCGAGCGAGCGAGAGACAGGCAGCAGTAGCCCACGAACAGCTCAACTTTTAGGGCTGCCGGACGGAGTGTGGCGGCCGGGACCGCCGTGCGGAGTTCGCCTCTTCCCGCGTCCACCGGGCTGAGTGGTCTCAGTCTGGGTTCGCCGAAAAGAAAGCGACTGTTTCTTTTCTGTGAGCAGCCTTCCTTCGCCTCCAGCCCACAGCAGGGTAAGTGGCCAGTGAATTCATTACTTCCAAGTTGTTCGGGGGTTTCAATGAATGGCCGACATTCTTTTAGAGATAAAACAAAACAGAACCAAACAAAACCTCTGCCGCTGACAGTTTGTGAATCCCAGCGGGACGTTAAAACAAGCTCTACACCGCGTTTAGGCAAGAAACAAACAACAACAAAAAAACTGTTCGCTCCACATTTGTGTAGTTTTGGAGCACAACGAGCTGCACAATTACCCGCGCGTGCGTTAATATAAAAAAGTATTGGTGCAAAACCTTCAGACCCTGCATGCACTTCTGCAAATCTGGGCACAGAGTCGAGAAAACTGCTCGTTTTCCAGTCGTGCAGTAATGTGTGTGATCCCTGTGGGGTTCGGTCCCCTTCAGGCACATCTTAGTCAATACATTTATTTATTCCTTTGTTGTCCTTCCTCAAATGAACGTCTGTGACGATCAACAAAATGTCCAGGTTGCCAACACTTTTTGATTCTGTGAACAGATCCTGTGACTGATGGCTTCTCTGGCAATTTAATATTCCGCTTCATGTATAGATATCAGGAATGCAGATATCAGGCTTTCTATAGTTCTATAGAGGAGCCAGGCATCCTTTTTATGTTCCCACTGTCATCTAATCTGGTAAAAAAAACACTAAAATGCTTCTCTCTAAAATATGCTTGTTGTGCAAAGTATTTCTGAATGCTTGCATGTGAGGATTCTTTCCAACCAAACTTCTTGTAATCACTGCAACAAATCCCAAATTGCTTAAATACTGCTCTCAACCGAAATTACAAGCAGACACAGAGGACCCTTAAAATCTATGAAAATGAAGTAAGTTAGTAGCTTAACATTAGCTAGAACGGTCCCAGTGAAACAATGGCGAGATCGTCCAAGGAAATAGCTGATGGCGGTTTGGATGCCAAAATTAAGTCACCAGAGACCCCCCCATGGGATCTTTGGTAACTTATAAAATCCTTTGAGGAAACAATAAACACCCACGTACCATTTTCTATCACACATTACACACACGCATTGCAATTGTTAAGTCAACTCACCCAAATTAATCATTAACTGAGGAGGAATTGTTCAGCCTTAAATAGCCCCGGATGGGTTGCATTTAAATGGTAGAGCTTTCACTCTCTCCTCTACTTCCACATGATATGTGGAGTTTATATGAGGAAAATGTCAACTTCTACTGACTGTAAACTACAGAGGTTTAACTCACTCCATCTTTATGTCACACTGAGTGTTACCTCTCTGGATGTAACATCCCCAAAAGCTTAAAACGTCCAAAACCATCAGCATCGCGTTTGAAACGGGGTCTAACGTCAGCGCCACTCAGCTGAAACATCTGCGATGTGTTCCCCACAGCCTCCACTGAGCGGTCCGGCGAGGGGCTGCATGGATCAGACTGAACATGAAGAGCCTCAAAGCCAAGTTTAGAAAGACTGATGTAAGTACTGTAGCATATGTCCACGGCTGTGGAAACCCGGTGCCCATGTGGATGTCAGCCTGCGTGAATCACTGTCTGTGCATGTGTGCTTTGTGTTTTGCATGATTCCGGGCCAAATATTTCAGCCTTGGGGTCAGCAGCACCTCACGGCTTGCCCACATTTGTTAAAGAAAACATACATACGTTTGAGAAAGTGACATAGTCAGAGTCTATTGATAAAGTCTGTGTCATTTCCTCTGAACAGAAACATATACTGTGGTTTACTTTTACTGTTCTTTTCATGAGAATACTGGAACCCAAAGACAGCATCTTGGCAGTGGGAAGTTAATATTCAAAGTGTAAGTGATATGGCACAGACTTTTAAACAAACAGGCGAGTCCAGAAAGTTTTTATTATGAGTCCAGAAAGTGGTTGTGTAGTGTAATTACTTTTTTGTTTTTTTATTTATAAGCTCCCAAAAACCACACACATCCCCAGAAACTCTGACTTTTGTTTACTCTAGACGAGGATTAGATCCCTGCGATTATGATTCAATCTTAAGGGAGGAATTTGTCCATGTTGGTACAGTCATGAGAAGCTCTATGCTCGCAGGAAGTGAGGCGTCTCCACAGTCCTCTGACTCATCTGTTGTCACGGTGACCCTAATGACATGGAGCCCTGCGGCAGACAGGAAAAGTCTGGAGCGTTGTGTGACGAATGATACGAGTTTTGGGGGGGAAAGGAGGGTGTGTCAGAAGTAGAGGAGTCAGCGAACAGAGTGAAGAATGCTGACTAAATAAGACACTTGGTTTAGGCTCCCTAGAGATTAAGAGTCTGTGGTGGGGCGGGATGGTGAGCTCTGGTTAAGTGGCATGTTCTGCTGAAATGGGAAGAGACGGTCCCACAGAGGAAGAATTAGCTGGAGTACTACCCTGCTTTTATTGAGTTCTTACCCACAACACAGTGTGAGGCATGATAAGGGTCTGGTTTATTGTGTGGGGACTGGAGTTAAGCGTCTACTGCTCGAGAGCAATACAAAAGCAACCTGAAAAATGTACAGAAACAACAGTAGAATTGCGTGTCCCTTCTGCCTAAAGTGAGGAAATTTAGCAAATTTAGTCAGCTATGTGGGAGGGTATAATAGTGCCCTTTGTTCTAGGAAATGTTGAGTCGGGGCGCTGCAAGGTCACTTACTTGTTGAGTGAGTGGAATGGTGCCTGTCCCACCTTTGTTTGGTGTTCTGGCTGAAACCTTTCATTTAAAGTAGCCGCTTTTCAGTTTTTTAAGGTGATTTGGAAATAATGATAACAAAATAAACTCGCTAGTCCTCACAAAAATAGCCAGCTGTAGGCGGCCTGAAAGAAGACAGGAGAGCTGAGGATGTGAGCGTTGCTTAGAAACTACCGATGCCACATCACGCATGCTTTAGCAGACCTCCCACTCATACATTGTCACTGTTTGCTCTGTGAATTGTTCGCTTTGTCCCCCACTTTCTATAGTGGAAGCCCGTTTCCATACCTGTGCTGCTGTATGACGGTTTGCAGAAAAAAGCAGCTGTTTCACAGCTGTATTGAAATCCTCTCCTACTGAAAGACACACCAAAGTGGGGTTACTCATTTGTGGGGCATATTTTAATAACCAATCTGGGTGAAAATGGAACATTTCTTGTTTCAGTGTTTAGAAATACCTGTGGACTCTTTAAATGGAGCCGTTTTCATCCACCAAGAGGAACAGCCTGTACTGCCGTGTGCTGTCGTAGCGTTTAGAATGATAAGAATTAATGGACGTAATCTATGTAAAAAAAAAAAGTTTCACAGGGTAACGTGTTTATCCTAGCAAGTACTCATTCCACGGCTTTTTATAGACATCCTGAGCAACTTTGATAGAAAGAAAACATCTCTTGGGTTCTATTTTTGGCTGTGTGTGTCAGTGACAGCTTACTCTCAGGAATGCCCCCCCCCCCCCCTCACCCCTCACCCCCCTTTAATCCAACCCGCCAATTTTTTTGAAAAACAAAATAACAAAAACCCATTGCCATTGTAAATGGCTTTTTGATGAAGTTAAGTTATTTCCACTCAGATAACATGTTGTGGAATCTGTGGTTGGGTTTCCAGTCTTAATGAAGTGATTTATTTCACATTTCACACACACACACACACACACACAGCTTAGTGACAGGAGTGCATCAGTGAGGCAGGGCTTTGCTCGAAAACCTCCACAGCATGAACTCCAGCTCGGGCTGGAAGTGAAAAACACGGGACTGTGGGAGAGAGTGCAAGATGTGTTATTATTGTAAGCGATGAGACGTATGAGAGCTCAGAGATAACACCAGATGAGCACCATATTTATAGCGGGATCAGGGAGACCGCTTCATAATTCAAACCTACTTGCAAATCTGCCATAAACTTTAAAGTAAAAAAAAAAAGTGTATATTTGGGAAAATACTGGAAAGACATAGAAATGATCGGTGAATTTACAGATGCTTAACGGTTATTTGTTTAACTTTGAATTGTGTAACATGTTCAGTTAATGCCATAAGTCATAAATCATATCTTGGAGTTTGAAACTTATACTCTGCTCACCGTAATGGTTGATAGGAGATAAGTGATATACATGCGAGCATTGTTAGACCCTCAGCCGCTCCTATACGTGTGAACCCGTTCTTGGGGGCGTGTTATACAATTGCGATGCTCACAACCGCTAATGCAAGCGCGCTTGTGCGTGCACGTTAATGACATAATTATCCCCACCTAGGGGAATGTGGTGGTAATCATGCCACTTTAGTGGCACTGCTGTTTGCCCACAGTGTTATGCAACCATTACCTGGCTGATTTTCATCATACGTAGTTTCAGATCGTGTTGAGTTATGCTTGTGCCCGCAGTCAGATTATGCAGAAATCTAGAAATACTTTGTCTGTAAAGAAATAAGTACTAGTCAAAGTGTCACTGATACAAACTACAGGTGAGGTCAGGCCTGTTGGCTTATTGCTGAACCCTCTCTGAGGCCAGGCTGCCATCCTGTTCTCCGGTCCTGAGAGGAAAACAATGCCTTAGGAAGCTGTGCTGCTGAGGACTTTTTTCTCTTTTGGAAACGTGTCACCATATTTTATCTTCAGACATTCCACTCATTTGTTAAAGTGCTGTCTTAAAGCTGGACTCCGGGCACACTCAGCAGTGCGTTAGCAGCCACAGTAAATCAGCTTTCCAAAATGCTGGACTCTGAATGCCCGGTAAGGCTAAGCACTGTGAAATGCCACCTGGACTTACGGTGCTCGTGCTCTGCCATGTTTGATGTTAAACAGTTGTGGAACAGACTCAGACTGTGTGACTTTTCCCACATTCTGCGCCGGGATCATCACAACTATGGTTTCAACTTCCAATTTGCTTTATGTGTGTGTGTGTTTAGGCATCGTTGGAAATATACTGAACCCCGCGTTACCCCCCCGTGTGACTCACTTTTAAGTTGGATAAACGTGTAAGTGACTATGATATGGTTATGTGTTTTGTCCACCGCGATCACATCAGATCTTATCAAAGAGGGTCTCCGTTGTTGCCTCATCAGAAGCTGTGAGGGGGTGTGTAGCCACTCTAGGAAAAGGTGAATTGGAGAAATCCTTTGATTTGTGGATGCGTGGGTTGTGTTTGCATGTCTGCTGCCAAACTGTGTCTGTTTGTGTTTGTCCGAGTATGTTTTTTGAATACATTGTTCTCATCTTTGGATGCTTGTGGATCATTTCAGCTGAGCATATTCAGGCAAACGAACAGGATAATGAGGGAGTTTCTGTGTGTGTGTGTGTGTGTGATGATGGAGCATGTTTAAGAGAGGCAGATGGTGTAATCTGGTTTCTGGGAATGTGTTTGGAGAGCTGCCACATGGAGACTTACAGGTTTTCTTGCTGCGACTTGCATTGATGATGTTAGTAATACATTCCTGTTGCCAATAAACAAAAACAAACTCAAAGGTTTAATGTAAAACAAACTCGATGGTTGAATTGAACTTAGTCAGTGTTGCTTTCACAGGCTTGGATCACCTCGAAAAATGAGGTGACGTCAGACCGTTTGCCTTTCCCCTTGAACCTTCCTGTCCTCCTCCTTTCTCTAATACATATTTCAGTGGCATATTTCTGAACATTTTTATTAAGGCTCAGAAAGGGGACTACATTTTTAAGTTAACCCTGATAAAGTCCATCCTCTGTGTTTGGCCTGCAACGTCACACTATTCCAGTGCTACATGCTACATTCTTATTTGTTTAGTTTTATCCCCTATTAAAGAAACGCTTGCTGTCTGATGTAAAAAATGCCTTTTGGACTTTTATCAGCAGCAAGGCCAAAAGCCAGGCTCTCCGATGCATGGCAGTGAATGGGTGATCCTGGATACACACTGTTATAGATTAGGAAAAAAGATCTGTCATGAAGTTTATATTGTAATACCACATTTTACTGTATCTTTAAACGTTGTTTAGTGCACCGGAACGGTACTCTTCTTTAATTTTGGCAAAAAACTTCTTAAAAGAAAAGAACATATTTTCCTCATCTTCAGCTGCTGTTTCCATCTTGTTACATGATCTACTGGCTGTGTGTGTGTGTGTGTGTGCGTGTGAGGCCACCTGCGGGCAGATTAATAAAATGAACTGAATCTATGTATGCTCTGGTCTGCATCTTCTATTGTTATCTGTGGTCTTATACCAAACACTCAGCCAACACTTCACGCTACCACACTGCCTAAACCTGCTCCCTCAGCCTCCAGACTAAGCAGGATTATTCAAGGCTTACGCACACACACACACACACATGTGTATGCATCAGTGTACGTGGACCAGCGTCCACAGCAGACGCCCCCCCCCCATCACCCACCCTCTCCGTGTCTAATTGATTTGTGGATTATGTTGTCTCCTCTGAAACCATGCAGCTGTTTTTACTACTTCAATTAATCCCTGCGAGACACCAATGGCTAAACGTCACGTTCTTTTTGGGCCCTTCTTCTCACGCATTCGATCTGGTCTAGCGTACACACTGCGATC